GCATAGACATCGCATTTTAATCAGCACCAACTGTTAGGGAGCTTAAAATTTAAAATACTACATTTACTGAACTATAGATTTGAAGTGAACTCTTTGACATGTTAGCTATATACGACTAGGAAATGCAGGGCTATCCATATTCGATGGACCTTTCGGACAGTCCTACAGGGTAGCCCATATTCGACGGACTCAAGTTTTTTTTAATTAAACAAGTAAGAAGGCTCCAGTCGAGACTGCTCGACTAGGAGATACCCTGAACCCTCCAAACTGATATTCTAATCATTCTGGACTTCTTTTATGCACACATACATACACATGCACGTATAAGCACGCGCTTTGCAAACTGCGCAGCTAGCAGCGGCTGCGCTTGGGCTGCACTGCAGTGTGGGCAATATAACGAGAATTTATTTGTTGAATAATTTCTTTTGTAGACATACGATCTTAATGAAACTTTTAGAGCGTAATCATATGGCTTAAATGTGTGTACATTTCAAAGCACAAGTCTCTAGTACTTGAAATGCGTTTTTTACAAATTGGGGGCGAAGGGGGCGTGGTATCCAAAATCTGTAAATTACAAAATCTTTGTATCCATTAACTTTATATACAACGCAAATTTGAAGTCTCCAGGTCTAAAAGTGTTCAAAATAAGCTGAAAAAACATTGTCGATTTTTCGATTATTCTCGATAAAAAAGTTATCGNTCCTGATCAAGAATATATATACTTTATGGGGTCTGCGATGATTCCTTCTGCCTGTTACATACTTTTCACAAAACCATTATACCCTGATTTCCCATTTTCAATGGGTTCAGGGTATAAAAACGTAAAATATTTTTTTGTTGACGATAATTATCATTATATTTAGTTATAGTCGAATTGTTGAAATTACTGTTAGAATTCGATATCTCTTAAATTTGTTAGAGGGCTGCCAGGTAATTTCGTTGAATATGGACAGCCCTGTATTTCATCGTTTTATATAGCTAACTAGCGAGCAGAAAGAACAAAGAGTGCACAAAACCAATAAATCCCTTTGGAGTGGAGCACATAAAGCTTTAGATTGATTAAAAATCTCGGGCTGCCATCGGACCAGACTGTTTGCTACTCTCTTAACTTGATATCTCTCATGTGAAATTCTCAGAAAAATAATTAATTTTGAGTAAGACGGGATTTCCGAGAGCTGTGCTCCCTTTGAGCCAGCAAAAAGATGCCCAGCGAAAGCCAACAAACTCTATGCGAAGTGTTTGCCATTAACAACTGTAAAACAATTCCTTCCTTCCTTTCTCATATTGTACACACGWAGAGGAATAAAATATAATACACATAGTACAAGCTGCGGCTCTTGAAGTTGGCATTCGGAATACTTTTGGTACTTTTAAGGCATCGTTTCCGCAATCTTGAGCACAACATAATATGTTCTTCCGCGGCATGTCATTAATCAAGAAAGTTGCCAGCCAGCCGCATATATTTCATAATTCCTTGGCCAGAGCCAGACGAACAGAACTTCTGCTAATGATTGCATGCCACGGCCATAGTTTAATCCCAGCAATCAAGCAGAGCGAGAGAGAGAAGAAAAATTTGCCTCTGGCTAGAGCTGGAGCTGGAGCTAGAGTTGATTTTCACACTCGCCATGCAGATATTTTGGTTGTTTTTGTTTGCCAACAGCTCAGGGCGCACTGATTAAGCCTGGCATGGCATGATGAACAGCGTGGCACGCCCACTAACGCCCACGCCGCACTTTAATTAAAGGCGAACAAACTGGATGGAAACGCCCGCATAGCCGCAAAAAATGTCAAGCTTATGCCATCAATCAAAATACTTAAATAAAATGTTTGTTTTAGCTGTTTGCCCGGACGCAAACAGGCCAAATCATGCTCAGGCAGAGCGCAGTGGTTAGGCAGAGCAAGCGGGAAGTCAGGCGGCAGACACGGCGTATACTTAACAATGTATGTTATGTATTTTCCATGCCAATTGAGCGCCGAAAAGGCACGAGTCAGCAGATGGGGTTCGCTTTTGATACAGCTCCCCAAAAAGTAAAGAGACACTAAAAACATTGTTGTTCTCATTTCGATGTCCTGCACCCAGTCTAAAGAGTAACTGGGTATGATACCAAACTGTCAAATTTGTTCATGATTAAACGAAGGCAGCTGCTAGCTCATAAGTTATCTTGTTTATTGTGTACTGTGGAGATATATGAATTTTGAGATCTCGAATATTTATATTTGTTGACCAATATCAATTTCGATTTTAAATTCCCAGTCACAGAATATTTTACAAAGCTTCAACAGAGTATATCTTAGTCGGGCAAAATAACTTTGAAAGCCCTCGATTCGTTGTTGTTGTTGCTCCCCATGGAAGATCAGCAGCGACAACAAGCAAATGAAATTTATTGCCTTGTTGTGATAAACGTGACGCGTCTGTTTAACAAGGACACGCCCAAAAATATAACCCGTCAGATGACAACAGTCAAGCAGTCAGGACATTTCAAGTTTCCAATTGGATTTGTGTTTTAGGCAGCGCAAATGCGTAGACATTGAGACCGCCAGGACAACAGGTTAATGAGCCATCAAAAAGTAAATAAAATCCTATGAACAATGCTATATAATGATCCCTAAAACGGAAATAATATTGCAATAATTTTGCAAAATATAGAATGTATGATCTTTTAAGCGATTTCAGAATGGAACAAACAGACATTATGACTAAACTCTTATTTGAAATTCCGAAATAACAAATTTTAAAGATAATATCATAGCGCAAAAATTACTTCTAGACGGAATGTCATTAATGCTTACAAAAACTTACTTAGAATATGACTTTTCTATCAGTTCTCCTCTGAGAGCTGAGAGCTAACTTCTGATCTCATTAATTACGATAAGATTTTTTGATTATATGGGGGTGTGGCAAATCGAGTAAAACTGAATTTTCTACAGTTTTAGATGAAGAAACTTATAATTGCAAATAATATATAAATACTAATTAAGGAAAAATAGTTTTGGCGACTTCTTGTCTTGAGTGAGTATTCTGCCGTCGGTAACGCTCGACTATAACATTTTTAATTGATTTATTTTGTTTTTATCTTCATTCTTAAATTTCCAGTTTTTATTACAGCATAGTATCTTCATCTAATAGTCCTTAATTGCAGTTACCTTCATATTTTTTCATTCATATTTCCAGCTGAAACTCCTTTCCAGCTCAAAAATATTTGCCTTATTGAAAATTGCAGCGAAAATTCTTTCGACTGCAACAGAGCGTATGCTTGATATTTGCTCGCTTTACGAGAGCCTTTTTCCCACTTTGTCGCTTCTCCTCTTTTCATTCCTGGCATAGCGCAATTTTCATGCCGCCAAAGCCTGCAAAAATTTCGAAATACCTGATGGATTAAAATTGGCCAGCAATTCAGAAAACTGCATTTGCATTTCTATTTCTCTCGTCTTTTTTGAAAGGTTTTTTATGCATTTCGTGCTTGCGAACTTGGCGGACAGCTTCAAGGCTTAGATAAGACCTGTTGGAAATTAAGCCCCAGTGGCTCACGATTTTTGGCAGTGAACGCGGCCAGCGCTGTCTTTTGATAAAGTCTGGCCCCTACCCCTCGCCCCATTCAGAAATATGTGCGCAATTCCTTTGTCCGCGCTGCTCTGTTCACTGGCCGGTCCGTTCCTCTGCCTGGCCTTCCTCCCCGCCTGGCTGGTCGTCTGTGAGCGATTGGCTTTAAAGTTAACCTCAACAATTTGGAGCAGTAAACATTTTTGCCCGCACTTTCACAGGGCCTCATATTGCGCATACGTCACGTGAACGTTTACCATTTTTTCTTAGTCGTTGGGCAATAACCGTAAAAAAGTAGAAAAAACTTGCGGGCAGAAATGCCGAAGAGAAAATACTCTGGCATCCACATAACATTGTCAATAATATAGGGAAAATGTTACGTATAAGTGATTAATAATTTGTTTAATCATACAAAAAGTGTAGCTAAATAGAACCTTTCCCATACCTAGTTTAACGTCTGCTATGCCTCATAATTGCTGAGGATTTACTTAAGGGATCAAGTTTCCATTGATGGCTTTTGCATAAGCTACGTCTGATCCGAGTAGCCACTCAGACAGGTACTCACAGGGACTTTGAAATTCAATTGAGCAGCACGAGCTGGCTTAGAGCCTTGCTCACAATACCTGACATAGGCATTTCGCAAATGTCTCGTATGAAGATTCACTTAAGCCTGGTATACGTAGCGCTTTTATTATCTTGGCCAAAATAAATACATATGTGAAAACATGGCCTGCAGCGATTTAGAAACGCATTCAAATAAATTGCTATTATGCACAGCTAGATCAGGCCTTATAGCGAATTTATTTTATTACCTTTGCTAAAATTTTACAAATTGCTTTATTTGAAGTCTGCGCAAAATTTCAAATTGTTTTGTGGTTATTCGCGTTTGTAAACCACAAAAAGTTTTGGGAGCACAAATTCGGGGAAAATCAAATAAATATATATAATACAAAAAAAATCACGTCCCAGTCGAGCTAGACCGACTGCACAATTCACTGTTCACAGAGCAAAACATTTAAATTATTATAGATCGTTAATCTGCTTTTAAATCACAATATTGTATATTAGAATAAATTATATATTTTTTTAAGTTCGTAAATTGTATTAATATTAATTAGAGTTAAACAGCATGAATAACATATTCATACTTGGCGGAAATTCAATTTTTCCTAACATCCGGACATTAGTCAAAGCCCATATACTCGCTTACACCATGCGAACAGTGTATAATTAGCAGTAAAAACAACAAACGGCAAAACTCGTGGATTTAGCATGCAAACGAGTTAGATGTGAATTTGAGTTTGATTTTCCTGTGCTGGGGGAGCTCTACTGCTATTTAGCTAAAATATTAAAGAAGTGCTACGTGCTGGGTTAGCGCCCGCTTTTAGCGGCTGAATCGTGCTTGTGTTTGTACGTGTCTTTGTGTGCTTGTGTAGGTGTCTCAGGGCCTAAGACTTACCACAATGCGTCGAACACGTGTCATTTTGCGATATTCACCCAGTTTGAGGCCGCAAAGGCAAAGCCGCCTTCTTCACTTTTTCAGTTTTTTTTTCTCTGCTTCGCACAAACAGCGACGGCAATTCAACATGGACACTCGATTCAACAAACTGCAACTCTTGATGCGGAACAATTAATTGTTGTTTAACTAGAGTACATTCGTCGCTAACAATAAGCAGATTTTTAACAGAACTTTCGATTTGTTTATGCCCCCTTTAATCGGGGTCCCCAGACACGCGTTTCGCGCTGCCTTTTGGCCAGTGTGCTAGCTTTTGATTTATTTCCTCGAGCTGATTATCGACCGCTGCGCCAAACGTCTCAGATGAAACTAAATGTGCCCCGAGATTGGCACACAGATGAAATACCCCCTGGAAAATTGTGGCCAGGCAAAACAGTAAAAAAAGAATGCGTCAAAGAGCGCAACTACAGCTTGCTTGCCTCTCTCGCTTTCGCTCTCTCTCTCTCTCTCTCTCTCTCTCTCCCTCTCGCTTACATTTGATTCAATACTTCCACTCCGCACACGTTGCGGATACGTAATAACGAGCTATACGCCTCATGAATGTACAGTGGGAAATGCATAATAAACAAATCAAAGTAAACTTTTGTCTTATACTTAGGTAAATGGGTGAATAAATAAATAAGAATAGATAAATAGATAATATTAACGTTAAAAGTGAACCTGAAATATTCATGTCCATGTATTGAGGCAGATATTTGGAATTAATTTTTCATTATTTACTTATTT